AGAGAGGGGGGGGGGCCACATGGACATAAGGAAAAGGGTGTGGATCACACTGAACTGAACATAGAGGCAGCAATATACATAATAAGAGAGTTGCACAGGTATGATGACGTCGCTTAGTACTGGGAAAAGGCAAGACTGTCGTGCAGCGCAGTATCTATGCGGAGACGTCTCCGACAGAGATAGACCAATCAAATGCTTTGTGCGGCGCCTCTAGACCAAGTTTTAAAAAATCTGGGGGGGTTACAGGGGGGCACCACCCCCTGTTTTAACCTATAATTTGATATTTTGAAGTTAGGTTTGAAATTTTCTTGAAAATAATTGATTTGCGACAGCTTTAGTGGCTGTATGTGTGATCTGCAGCAAATGATACACAGTTTGACCCTCCAAAGCAGTGCATCTGTGTGCGGGAGTGCGTCTCCGAATAGTTCCTGGTTGCTCGCCGAGACGTCTCCGAATAATCAAATATCTTCTGCTGTCGTACAGATCAAACCAGGTGATGATGGTAATATATTATATATAAACAGGCATACACGTAGCATGGCCTATCACAGGCACCATGTAACAACTCGCTCAAATAGAGTCGGAATTTTTACAAATGTCATGGTCATGTAAAACATTACACATAATTTGTATTACATTACTATCTGGAAAGAGTGATACGATATATATTAAATTTAAATTACTCTTGAAATCCATGAAGACCACCTGAACGGTTGAACGTTCTATTAAAATGTGTTAAATAGTATAATTAAAATTACGATATTGTACTTACATTTAACCAAGAAGTAAAAGTATGCAAAGTATTCATAAGCAGGAAATCCTACATGACCTGAATAAAAAATAAGTGCTCAATTATTGCATAATAATATAATCAACTGCTTTGTAGCGTGTAAGACTCTACTATACGCCATTTTGGAAAGTGACGTATGACGGTGGCTTCCCCACCGAGCAGTCCATTTGAGAAAGAGTACATTAGTACTTGAGTTATACCTCTCATACATACTATAATTACGATATATAAATGTAAACATATTTTTATACGGATGTAGCTTATAATACATGTGAAAGAGGTGCTTGTGCGTATCTCAACACCTAGTTGTGTTCCTTTGTGATATCGGTTTTACTTTCATTATTTTGTTTGCATTTTTATTTGGAGGGGGGGGGTGTCTGAAATCATCAAATGGCCTGCAAGAAACCAAATCGGTGTGAAGGTTGGTACATTTTTTCTTCACCGGTTTATTTCGACAATGTACTGAACTTGGTCCTCTATCGGAACACTGCATTGAAACAGAAACTATTCTTGGAACATTGTGAATCATTAGGATTCGAACTCATTTTGTCTACTTTGATAATATATATATGTATGTATGGTAATATATATATACTATATATATATGATATATATATATATATATATATATATATATATATATATATGCATTCAATATTCCAAAGGGCATGACGGTACATGTACCTGATTTTCAGCTAAAAAATATTTATTACACTGTAAAATTGTAGGTTTTGATCTTTGTGTATCTTTATAAGATTTACATCGATATATAATGGCATACATTTTGTACTCCAGAATGGAGCCATCGCTTTCCAATTCTACTTTGAAAAAAAGGCGATCGTCTGCTATTCAGTTATGGTTCAAAGCTGAATGGATAGACGCAAGCCAAGTGAGTGTCTGTGTCACACGTTTAGAGAGGCTTGTCACAGGTCCTTGTGATATTGTGTATTATTCATGCATTTAAGCATGTCGTGAGTTTTTATATTTGTCATTGTAAAACAAATTTCCCAAGGGTATCATTTGAAATTTTGAGTGGAATTTGTAATTTTCCATTTTTTATTTGTTGAAGACTATTGTATGTAGAAATATTCCAAAGAATGACAGCACAAAGCAAGATTGTCGTTAATTAATCGCAACTGTAGTACTGTAATGACGGCTGTAGTAAGCAGTGCGCAATGATCCATACCCTAGGCAAACGGGCAGCTTGTAGTTGTGGTTATATTATAATATAATTTTGTTCATGAATAAAAAAATACCTGGTGGGAATGAGACAATCATAATAACCACAGAATCCAATTATTCAATGTTATATCATACTGCTTTGTTCTTTTTATATTTTGAAGAACAGCTTCTAACAATCACAACATATCCATATACATTTATATTTATTAAGAATACTCATATACCCACAACTCAAAAGTTTTTTTTTTACATTTGTTTAAATCTCATATGTATGTACATATGCATAATAATTGATAATATCAAACTGGAATCGTATTAAGACTGACACAATCAATATTACTTGTGAAGATCTAACTCAAGTTTTACAATAAAACTATTTCCAACCTGAACAATTGAGAACGATGTTAATTTTCATGAATAAGTAGACCTAATGTTCCTCCACAGGCTAAAGGATCAAATGCTCAACATAGTCTATTTCTTTTCAAAATGTTTGGGGTTTATACACCCCCCATCGATACAACTTGGATCATTTAGACTGCGGGCCAACCTGAGTTGAGGGGGATACAAACGTCACTGACAAAAAATTCTGCCAACATAGTAATCAAACTCAGGTCTTCTGCATGCAACGGTAAAGCACCGAGCCACTACACCACAGACGCCGGTCAGGACACCTGGCTGGGAGTGGGAGGAAAAGTTCAAAGCAGAAAATTAGAAAAATGACTCCCCCCCCCCTCAAGATTAGAATCTGCAACTTCTATTTTTTCTTTTAAAAAAAGAAAAAGAAAAGCTAATAGGTTCACAACGCATTGCTCCACATCATCAGTCACAAAGTCCCATGACACAAAAGTATCATAACAGGAAAACTGTTAGTGTTAGGTGTAGTGGCAAAAACACAGACCTAACGCAAACTAATCAACTATCAGTCAGCCAACAACTATTTTATTCACATGACACTGTACAATCTTTACAAAGTTTGGTATTTTTCATTATTACATGACATGACATGGAAACTCATACTCATCCCCTGCACAGCTGACTGGTAAATTTTGGATTAGCTCAATTGGGAGAAAGAGAAGAACATTGACATTTAATGATAATGTCTGTCCACTTAGTGCATGGGAAAAGGCATGCAAGCTAATCAGGAACAGACAGATAGACAGACAGACAGACAGAAAGATAGATAGACTCAAGGAACAACTGAGGGTGGGGCAAAAAAACAGAATCAAACCGACACACAGAGAGAAAGTGAACACCACCACCAGATGAATCATTTGGATTTATATTAACAAAAACAAGGCTGCCAAAAAATACTATACACGTACCGACAACTGAGACTTTCATAAAAAGATGAATGAATTACAAAAAGCATATATATTGTATACTTCTTTTTTTTAGTTGGTAAGTGTTTTACAGCGCTCGCAACCGCATATAAGGTCATATGAGCTCGCAGGACACATTATACATTTTCAGTTGGAAATATATGTTGAATTTTCCCCGGGTGGCGGCCGAAGCCTACTCTTATCGATTTTGGACCACCAAGGGATCCTTATTAACGTGTACAATTTGCACACGGTACCTCCAAGATTTTTCGCCCTTGTCCGAGAAGGCTTGGTGTAGATCTTTCCAACCATAAGATAAGGGGTGTGGCTGAAAGGCAGCAGTAAGAAGGAGCCAAGGAGTAGAAGTAGAAAAGCTGCAGAGAGAATCAGGAGCCCAGAGGAGGGGGGCAAGGAGGTGAGGGGGTGGGGGCAAAAAGTGGAAATGAAAGCAGACGACAGAACATTGCCAGCGAGCAGGAAAGGAGGTGAAAGGAAGGAGACAATTTAGAGAAGAAAAATCTCCATCGCTATCCAGGTTCGAAACTGGCACCTATTGAATGAGAGGCGAACACCTTAACCTCTAGGCCACAAAAGCCCCCCTGTGTATACTTCACTATCCCAAAGCTCCATACACTTACAAACATTCTCTTTTCTTCAGTTGCCTATCAATATCAATGATGATTGTGATTGTGACAGTGACAAAATGAACCACCAACAGACTATTTCTGTGTCTCTTGGAATAAGTCCACAAAACAGTCTCGTGTTATTTCACCAGTAAGATAATATCCTTATGTTGACACATATAGGGTCATGTTTTGTAAAAGTTTTACGACGCTCGCTACTGCATCATTATGATCATGAAACAAAACAAAATGAACAAATATTTCCTAAACTAAAATGACTCCGACTTCACACCACCTGTCAATTCTACCACTGTGCCAAATAAGCAAAAACCTATTGTCCTGTTCGGTTATCTTCAACCTGGAACAATTTCATTATTTCCAGCTACATTCATATTTTCATCTTCTCTAAAGTGACAGCAGCTCATCCTAAATAGACAGTTTTTCTTTCAGTAATTTCACTCTCCCTGTACCTGCGACAGTGGTGTAGATGTTAGGTGCTTTGCTGTCACATGCAGGAGACCAGATATCGATTCCCAAGTGGGGAAGGTTTTTATCGAGTATCTCAAGTCTTTCTGCCTGTGATGATGGGTCCTTCTCAGCCCAGGTTGGCCATGACAGACAGGCCTGCCTCCTGAATGATCTAAATTAAGTCCAAGGGGGCATTAAAAAACCTGAATTAAAAATATCTATTTTAAACTCTACCTGCCTACTGTGTATTCGCCAACACTAGAACAACAGTCTCCAGCAGAATCTTCCTTTCCCTCCCCCTGATCCTTTTTCCATCCACACTGAGGCTTGGTTCCAGTGAGCTTATCTGGACAACCAGTATCGTTTACTTTCAAATTAACTCACAGCAATTTCAAGAGCGGAATTAAGTCTGCAAAACAAAAATGTGAAAAATATCACAGTCCACATTTTTGAAAGGAGAAATAACCTAAACGAAACAGTGAATTATTGAACTGATAAAGATGACTTTTTAAAAAAAATTTTGAGGATCAATTTCTGATTTAAACCTAAAAGACACAACCTCACAGATGGCCGACTATGGAACATCATGCACAACCATTAATTACCCCGGTACCTTTTAGTCAAAATATAGCACAATCTTGAGCTCAGCTGCAAACCTTACAAAATTCAGATGTTTTGAATGCAAATTTGGCGGAATGAACAGTGGCTGGCTAGGAGCATATCAGCAATTTTCACATCTTTAAAAGAAAATTTCCAGTCACAGGACACACTATATTGTTGATACATGCTGCACACCGGCGTCTGTGGGGTAGCAATAAGGCACTTCCCTGTGGCACGCAGGAGAGCCGAGTTTGATTCCCGAGTGGGGAAAATTTTTACCCAGTATCTCGGTCTTTCTGCAGGGATGTTGCATCCCTCTGAGCCCAGGTTGGCCCTGTCTGTCAGGCAGGGTTGAAAGCCCGCCTCCTATACGATCTATATTGTATCAATGGGGATGTAAAACAAAAACAGTAAGACAAACAAAACAAGCAAAAAAACATGCTGTGCCAAGAAAGGTCATGATTCAAAAAAAGTAATCGCTCTTAATTGGTCCAGTCTTGAGGTTCAGTTTTCATGACCACGCCTATCACCACACTGCACTGACCACACCTATCACTGCACCAAATCAACAAGACCTATCTTTTCTCCATGTTCTCCTGAATATGAGTCAACTTCAACATTATATCCTGCAACATCCTCATCTTTTTCTTCTCTAACACGAGCAACTCTTCTTGAATAGCCAGTTTCCTTTCACGAATTTCACTCCTCCTGTCTCCTTCCGTCGCAGACGCAGAAGTTTGGACATCCGGCTCAGGCTCTGCTTGGACCTTCCGCTTCCTCCCTCTCTTCTCCCCGACGTGAGGGGTCGTTTCCGACCTGGCAGGTTCAGTCTTGACGCGTGTTAACGCAACCCTTGGCGTCTTCACAGTGACAGTTTTTTCTTCTTCATCTCCTGAGGCCACAGCTGCCACGCTGTCCGATGCAGCAGAATTTCTACTGCCCTGCATGTCCCTGAATCGCCTCGGCTCTCGGATCCGCCGCTTTGGTCGAGCTGGGGACGCCTTATTAGAAGATGTCTCTTTTTGTGAGCCCTGTAAAAGAAAAAAATTTGTTTTATGTTCTTTTGGAAAGGTTGTTGTTATTATATTAACACTTTCCACCCATCCAGCTGGCAGAATGCAAAACCTTTGTCCTTGTGTACCAGAATGAGAATGAGGAACATCACTACTGCCTCATGTATATAATTTAGTAATTACCAAAAGAGTCACATAGGAGTTTGACACTACAAAAATCACCCTGACATATTCAGCGTTGAGGACAATTCTTTCAAAAGTATGCCATCATGCCCACACATCATCATTGGGTATCCTCACATTCTGTAACTTTCACTGTTAAAAAGAAAAATAACTCTTTCAAGCCACACCAAGTAACTAAACCCAGGGGTTTCACATCATTTACAAGTTGCGTTCGACTGATGGAAACCGATGTCAAGAAAAAATAAGATTTTATGGAAATCTGATAGGGGTTCTTCTAGGCAAAAAAACAAGGAAAAAAAAATTGGATTTAAATCAGAATGCTTGGCAGATCAGCTAACACTCATATAATATAAAAAATGAAAGCCTGTCGTCTGATTATGACAATCTAGTACATGCAACACCCTGGAGTTCCATTAGTCATTTAAATCATAAATTTTTTAATGCCCACCCCCTCTTGTTCCTCTTCTTCATCTGACTTGTCCGTCCTTTTCTCATCAGTGCCGTCCATGGACTCCTGTTCTTCCTTGGCACTGTCTCCATTTTCTGCCCTAGAAACAAGGAGAAAAAAATTTAATAGTTTCTGTTTTTGTTTTTTTTAAAGTTATCACAGTAGAAAAACATGAAGTCACATTTAGTGAATTTTATACTTTGAGAAGCACTATAAGGCTTTACCTACACAGATCCTCACATGACCAGAGCAAAGATCCATATTACTTTTCATATCAGAGAGCATTAATAATGTAATACATGTACAGTGTCTATCACACTCAAGAATCTCCTTACGTATATATAATTAATGTATGCTTGAGAACGTTCTTTATGGGGTTGAACAAGTTTTCTTGTTACTGTGAAATTTTGTGTCTGGTATGAATGAAGTATTACGCTCAGTGGTCATGGGATCGATGTTAAGTGCTCAGCAGAGATTATACTTGTATGGGCTAGAGCGCTATATAAATGCAATCTGTTATTATTATATCATGAATTTTAGTTTCTGGGTTTTGTAAGTTGACTGGAGCATGGGGGCATCTTGTAGTAACTGTAGTAACTGGGTTTTCAAAATAGGTTACAGCTCTTTGGTGACATCGTTAATTCCACAAACTCATTTTTCTAGTTTTGAAATGTGTTGGTGGCTGGTTTCAAATACCCTGCTCTGCTAATTAGCCAAGAAAAAACGTGTACATCTCCATCCAGATGATACAATGATGTTCTAAAATGGGCTGTTTGGGAATGGCTTTATCTTTGTCTGGAAGTAGAAAAAAAAACAATTTGAAGTATGTTCTCCTTACTGAATTGGAACCAGACATTTCAAGCTTTTTAGTTTCTCTAGTCATTTGGAAAGATTGACCACTTTCTGATTTCTTCTCATTCACAAGTGTGTGCACACATTTACAACACAAAAATTGAGCATGAATTTCATAGCTGTCATCTTGTACGCCTACACTATACAGTCATACACAAGAAAAATATCTAAGCTAAGCTGAGTTCCATTGTAAAGCAGGTGCCAACACGGAGTGTCCCCGCCAATAAACCCTATGATCCCCTACCCAGGGAGCTCTGGGGGGTTGATGGGTCACGCCAAATAAAAGGCACAGTATTGGGAAAAAAGTGATGCACGCAAAACACTGTGTGCAGCTCTTTTTTCGGTCTCTCACAGTAGCCAGAAGAGCCAGGACAGTATAAACGATACAAACCAAAATTATTCAGTTCAGCGTCCAACCTGTTAAAACAGCACTCACATTTTCTCTAATCTCTTGCTGACTCTTTTCTCAATATTGTTGATATCTTTCATCTTCACGTCCTTTCCTGTCTCTTTCGCCAGCTTGTCCCGCACCAACATTCTGGCCAGACGTTTGTTTTCATGCATGCTGATTAGGTTATAGATTTCTAGTTCTGTTTCCTCATCCAGGCTTTTGAAACGATAAGTTTCCTGTCAATAAAAAGAAGAAAAACACACAAAAATTATAGTCCTTTCTATTGATTGAATTTAGATTAATTAAAAAATGCTAATAGATTTTACAGAACTTTTTTTTTTTACTTTTATTTCAGAACAAAAATAAAAATTGCTGAAGATCTTTCACAAAATTTAACAGTCCTGGCCCTCTTTTGTTTTGGTAAGTGTTTTATGTCGCTCGCTACAGCATAAGGTCAAATGAGTGCGCAGGACACATTAAGCACTTTCAGTTTGGTAAGTTTGAATTTTGATCATATGGCGGCTGAAGCTTACTCTTAATTGATTTTAGGACCCCTAAGGGATCTTTAACGTGTGCCACTTGCACACGGGATCTCCGAGATTTTTTTTTCCCTCATCTGAGAAGGCTAGGTGTTAGATCTTACCCTAAGATCAGGGGTGTGGTTAAAAGACAGCAGAAAGAAGGACCCAAGGAGTAGCAGTAGAAAGAGTCAGTAGCCCAGAGGGGGTAAAAAAAGGAGAAAAGGGAAAGGGAGCAGAAAGTGGAGATGAAAGCAGGCAGGAAGACATGATTAGAAAGCCCGAAAGGTGAAAGGAGAAATTAACAACTTTTTTTAAGAAAGAAGAAAATTTTCCTTCGTTGTCAGGTTTCGAACCAAGGACCATGTGAGCCCTCCATCCTGACCTTTTTATACCTTGCAACAGAGAGCACAATCAATTTTAACTTTAAAGACTTTTTTAAAAGCCACAGCATATATGTCATATCAAAATTATCTTAAACAAAAAATAATTTAATTAGTGCTCTTTTTTTTTTTTTGCAAGAACCAAGAGAAAAAGTTTATTTATAGAATAAAATACTAAGTTCTTACTTCACTGAGCTCATGATTATGACAGTCCAGCTTACTCTCCTTGATCACTAAGCGTTGTCCATCTGGTGTAGCTGCTAACCGTAGTCGAACTGGACATCCACATTTACGGGAACTGAAACATAAAATGCATAATTTTGGGTTTTTTAAAACGACATTTATTTGCACAAAAGCAATTTCATTACCATCATGAAAAATCTTAAGACAAGTCAAACCCACTACCAAGAAAGACCATCGATTACTGTTTCACTAGATGAAGATGCATACAATTAAAAAACAATTAAAAGTAACTTCTTTCTCATTTTGCTGAAAAATGAAAATCAGCAGCATTAAAAATATATTATTACCATCAAAATACAAATTTGCCTGGGGGTTTTTTATTCAGAAATTCTCCAGATAAATTAAGATTTTGTTTCATACCATGCAACCATGCTGCCATTTAACATGAAATTACAGTTAACAATTTAAGAGAAATTGTTTAGTGAAGATATTGAAGGCAAAATTTCGTCAAATGTAAAATATATGTCGATATATCAAAATGTCAATCAGACGTTAATATAAAGTAAAGTGGATTATACTGCAACTGTAGCAAAAAATGTGTTGGTGCACGCAATTGCATTGCGAGCGTATAGAAAAAAAGGTGTTAAATTGGTGCACACATTTTTGCGGGCGCACAGACACTCCTGTCCCTGTAACTGTAAGCCCTATTGCCCCATAATTTGTTTGCAATACAACAAAGGTTTTTAATTTTATTTAAAATAAATAAAACTTGATTTTTGATGATTTTTTAAAACTATGAACTGCAGCCCAAAAAAAGTACAGCAGTTTGTCAAAAAAAAAACTATGCATCTGCTCCTGGGAGTGAAAGTAAAATTTACCAACGTCACACTGAAGTATTTTTACTTGAAAAGATGATTCATCGGAAGGACTTCTGTAATGGGCGACCACCCCAAAAAACACAATAATAAAGAAAAGACCTAACCCTAACCCTCTATTTTACTCTGTCTCATAGTGGTCGCTCGTTGCGGCAGTCCTCCCGATTCATCAAAGCAAAAAACAAAACAAAAATTAACCTGCAATTCCGAATTCCATTTGATCTGGATGGTGCCTTCTTCCCTCCGTAAACGCAGGTGAAAGTAACATGAGTGTAAATTATATCTGGATTGTAGTCCCGAGCACCACCTGCACTGTTATTATTAGATCTTTCAACTGTTGACGAGTCACTGCGAGCAAACTGCGCAAAACTTGTGTCACTGTATTGTTGGAGAGTCACCTGAAAAGCATCATAAGAATCGAACTCAGTTCCTTCCTGAAGCAGAGTCACTGGCCCAATATCTGAATCTTTGCCCTCTTTTGGTGCATCTTCTTCCTCTTGTTCTCGTTCTTCCTCAACCTCATCACTGTTGCCTTTAGCATCATTCAAATTATTATTGTTCGAGTTCGTAGCGTCGTTCAAATCGTCAGCCTTTGTTGTTTCTGTTTCTTCTGGCTCGACAAATGCAGAAGTGCCAGAAGTTGCAGACTCAACCTCAGCCTCAGCGTCAGACATGTTGAGGAAATCCCGCAATGTAACAATATCAATAAAGTTGTACTGTATTTACTTTAAAAAGCTGACATGAAGAGAATTATACATAAATGTTATATTTTTTCTGGACAATGAGGAATACCAACAAAATGTGACTCTACTGGTTTTCAGCTTTCAACTTTGATGTACGGAAACGTGAAAGGAGTGCGAAAGAGAAAGCACTTGCGGTTTCCGCTTAAATCTCTTGTGTGAGAAAAGAACGAATGTTGTGGCCTCTGAGAACCAAAATTCACGACGGTAGATCTAGATCTAGTAGATTCTACTCGAAACAATTAATTTGAGAAAGTAATACCAGAGAGTATTTAATTGTAATACACAATTTTTTTAAAATTTGATACGCAGAGAATGCAATTTTATTTCAGCGTTGTGTTTGTGTATGTTGATATATGAGTTTGTGTATGCACCTAATATTATTATGTGTGAGTACCTGTGTGGATTTGTGTGTGTGTGTTTGTTTGTGTGTGTGTGTGTGTGTGTGTGTGTGTGTGTGTGTGTGTGTGTGTGTGTGCGTGTGTTTGCATGTGCAAGTATGAAAGCGTTCATAAGTGTTGTAACCCTATTACCGTTATGAACTATTTTACCCCTAAAAATGTTATTCTTGTATAAAGTATCGTATACGGGAAATGTAGGCTACCAATAAATATACCAATCAATAATTTTAAAAATAATTGTTCTTCTTGTTGTTGTTGATAATTTTGGGGGTCTAGAGATACTCGCTGCTCGCCTCTCACTCAATAGGCCCCGGTTCGAAATTCGACAGCGACGAAACAAATTTCTTCTCTTTAAAAAAATTCTCCTTTCCCCTTTCCTGTGTTCTTATAATGTTCTTTCGTCTGCTTTAGTCTCCACTTTCTGCCCCCCCCCTCCCCCCTCCACACCCCTCTCGTTGTTCAATATCTTTGTTGTTGTTGTTGTTGTTGTTAAGTGTTTTACGGCGCTCCAATTTATGCATAAGGTCATATGAGCGCGTGCGACACATTTAACATTTTTCAGTAGGTAGGAAGTTTTGAATTTTGCCCGGGTGGCGGCCTCAGCCTACTCTTATCGATTTCAGACCACCAAGGGGTCTTTAACGTACTCATAACTTGTACACGGGACCTCCGAGATTTTTCGCCCTTGTCAGAGAAGGCTAGGTATTGACCTTTCCTACCATAAGGTCAGGAGTGTGGCTGAAAGACAGCAGTGAGAATGAGCCAAGGAGTAGCAGTAGAAAGGCTGCAGAAAGAGTCAGGAGCCCAGAGGAGGGGGCAAAGGAGGTGAGAGGGTGGGAGCAGAAAGTGGAGATGAAAGCAGACGACAGTGCATTGCAAAAGAGCAGGAAAGGGGGTGAAAGGAGACAATTACAGAGAAAAAAAATTTCCGGTCGCTACCCGGATTCCAACCCAGGACCTATGAATGAAAGGCGAACACCTTAACCTCTAGGCCACGAGAGAGAGCCATTTCAATATAATCCAATTGCTACCTTACCTACAAGGAAAAGGAATAAAACCTGAATACTTCTCTTCCAGAGGAAAGACAGATTATGTATTGGCATTTTTTTCTAACGCTTGGTTATTACTTATTTTGAGATTTACAAGTTTTAGTTGTTTTTTTAAAGGAACCATTAATATACAAGGTGTCTTGATGTTGACTGCAGACACTATGAACAGGTACACAAAAATATAAAAACCTATTCAACAATATTTTTAAATATTAAAGAAAAAACAAAAACAAAGAAAGAACAACAACTATAGTGAAGGCTATTATTTCAAATTTATTCACACACTGGCTTCAGTGTATGTGAGCCATGCATAAAATTATCAAAGATCACAGAAAAATGGTCAATTCAAAGTGAGCTGTCTGGGAAATGTTTTTCCTACTAGAGACTATAGCCAGAAACTCTGAAATTAAAATGCACCTTTATTTTAACCTTGTGACTGAAAACAGGAATGCCAAATGATTTTTGAAAAAAAAACTGAAAATGAGTGGAGCATCACATCTCACCTAAAACGTACTTTGTAAAATCTTTAAAAGAGCAAACAAAAACATTTCTCTTACCATTCCCCTTTCTTTTGCAAGTGAATGAAAAAAACGTAAAAACCGGAGATTTGGCATCCCTGTGAAAACCGTCAGAACCCCCTGAACCAAAATCGATTACACTGGACTATTATATATATTCATGTATATAATATGTTTTATATATACATGCATGCACATAACAGACTAGATCTACTAATAATTGGTAAAAGTAACTTCATACCTATCATTTTACCCCAAAAATATTTTGATAGAACCAACTAATGATAACAACACAACTACTATAAATAGTTCTTCTATAGCATAAATCCCTTGAGTTGCCTTTATCAAAAAACATCTGCACATGTTTATTCAGCACAGCAGATGTAAAAATATTCGTGAAAGGAAATAAGTGCTTCAACACAAAAGATAAGCCTACTGTTCGACTAAGACATTTTCATTTTCATTACATAACATTTGATGAATATGAAGTGTGACCAATAAGACACAAACAAAAACAAATACAGTGGAATCCTGTTATAATGAGAGGGATGGGACCAGTGCCAAATGTCCGTTATAGCAGGATTCCCGTTATACGGGATCCAGTAATAAATTCAAGGGAAATAGTAAAGTAGGCCTAATCTATGAGTCAGGTTTTCGGTTCATTTAATTCGTAGTTTCCCCTGATGATGATTTGGTTCAAAATGACCTTTAAGTCTTACTTGATCAAAAGTCGAATCAGGTTTCTTTCTCAAACGCTAGCGATATTGACAGTTCGGCATTGGCGATCAGAAAGAAAGTTCTCTAGGCTAACTCACCCACTGTGTTGTCCCCCACCCCACCACACTGTGTGGTGGGTTCCGTCTGCTTGCGCACAATGGGAACATATCCCGCCCATGTCACACGTTCGCTCCGTCCAACAAGTGCAGCGCTATAACCTCTCCTTCCCCGCATCGGAGAAGTGAGAGGCATAATAGGCCTAGATAATCTAGACTAAGCTGGTCTATCACATGATGCGTTCTGCTCGTCTGTGCATGCCACACTCTCCCCACTCATTCAATCCGGCCTTCATTGTTGGCATTCGTGGGCTCTCCCATTCTTTGTTTCGCAAGATAACCAAAGTTTCTCAACTGGCGAGATTTAACATGAATAAAAGGCCTATGCGCTGTGCACAGCAGCAGATATTATTCCGGTATAATCGACTCGCGTGTTTGTCTGATTGCGTTATATTCATATTTTATTTACAAAGATAAAGAAGGGGAAAAAACGGGGTTTTAGAAGAGTGTCCTTATAACAGACTTCTCGTTCTTTCAGGACTCGTTATAAGTGGATTCCACTGTATAACTAAATGCATTCAACTAAGAAAGATAATATGTTCCTGTGCTGAAAAAAGACACAAACACAATCTTTTGAAGCTTTACGTGTAAACAAAATGCTCCCCCCACCCCCCAAAAAAAAAACACCACAAAAAAAAAAAGTTAAATCCTTCAGATAAAAGCTGAATATGGCCCACGAGACAAAAGGTAAAGGACTTTTGATTTTGTTTATGACCACGAAAAAAGGAAAACACAAAAGGTCACATAGTTGCCATATTATATTACTTTTTTCAAAGGGACATATATAGAGAAGTTCTAAAATAGTTTTACTCTGGATCAGACCTTACTTACAAACAAAGATACCTTTGATTCAGTAAAACGTTCATTTGGCAAGATATAACATCTAGTAGGTGCCTTCAGCGAAACAGACTTCAGCTGTCCAGAACCCAGCATCCTATTCAACAGCAAAAAAACAACAACAATGGTCTCTGCCTAAGGTCCCTCACCTATTTCACTCGTATTTATCTACTTTCATTCCACATAGATTGGTATTTTTTTTCATCAAAAGAAAGATAAATTTACAGGCTTTAAGCTTATACCAATAACTGCATATGCCCAAATATTGATGAGTGCCTGATTTCACCATATCATTACACAATTAATGCTTTCTGACCACAGACGAGGGATCTTGCGCAGAGACGGCTAAAGTAATATTCTTTGGTTTTCGTTTTAATAACACCAGTGTATAATCATATATCTGATTAAGCACTGAACAGTGTAAGAGAAAACTCTGTTAAGTCTGGATAACAGAGGACATCTGAATATGCACTGAACAGAGTAAGGAAGCTCTGTTTAGTCTGCGTATCAGAGTTGAGAAAAGTTAGAGAATGGAAAGTAAGCATGAAAGAAAAGAAAATTTTAACAGAGAATGTCATCACTTCACAATTGTTACACTACATTCAGAGACTTAAAATATTATGACAGCGGTATTTTTGCCTCAGTACAAGTAAAGATAAGATTTATCTTTATTGTCCAGATGCTGGCACATAGATTTTACGTTTCACAACACACATGCACATACACACCCATGCATACACCCATAAAGACATATTCTTTCGAAAATTATCTCTTCCACATATATCTATACAAGCATACATAGTATATGCTTGCACTCACAAACATATATATTGTCACACGCATATGATATAAATGAACAATTATTGCTAACAATAATAATATTTAAGCTAGATACATATCAATATTCCGACAGTAATCCCATGGTATTCTGATAGTACATGCCTTGAAGGTCATAGAAATAGTAGCACAAATGAAGTAAACATATTTCTTCACACAAATGTATACAAATAAAACACTCCTAAGCATTTCTAGTACGATGATAATGTTTCCATGCAGAAAGACATTGACATGCAAATTTGACTGAAATTATCATGCATAAATACAAATGAAAATGTTTAGTGATTCATATAGTTTACATGATGACAAATTAAAATAATTTCACAAACAATCATCAATGAATGATATGTTTTTACTTTGTTGAATAGATAACGTGAAGAAAAAGAACTGACCTTAAAAAACAGACGATACAAACAAAATGGTTTGACTTCATGGACACTGAATAAAAAACAGAAGAAATGATTTGACAAAAATGAACATATGGCAAATAAATAAAGATCTGACAATGACTGCAACTTTTGAGCACTGTGACAAAAGGCACGCTTCACTTTGTTTTATACTTTTCAACAGACTGGTCGAGCAGACAAAAGAAGCATGTTAAGTCACATTGGCAGGAATGTTCCGCAAAAGCAAATGAGCTATTTTAAACAAATCTTTTCTAAACAGTAAAAAAAGACAATATAATAAACATTAAAAATAAAATCAAAACTAACCAAAGATTGGCAAAAATAAGTATAAAACCAGAAGTTAAACACACTTCATCTTTTGTTCCACTCTTAAGGGTTTGAGCAGAAAAGGCCAAACAGAATAATACACAGAAAAGGACAAAAACAACGAAAACAAAATGTAAGAATAATCTTCATTTTGGACTGTAGGTACCGGTACATCAAATACATAAACCAAAGCATGCCGACATTTTGCTGAATTCAGCTGCTTCGTAATACTGCAAACAGAAACCAAATGACACTGATGGACAATAATTAGAGTCTTTTTTTTTTTGGTAGAGCGTTTTACGGCACTCGCAACTGCATAAGGTCATAAGAGCGCCAAGGGGTGGGTGTCAACAGAGAAGTCCTTATAGGGAATCAGACTAACTCTGCTCACCTCTCTAGCTTCAACAGCACAAAGTCTGCTTCGACTATCAAGGCACCCTGGAAATAGCAGTTCACAAGAGAGTGACAAACATACAAAAGAAGTAGAGGAAAATGACAATAGTAAGGATTAGGAAAGAAAAAGCAGCAGTTCCCTGTTGCAGATCAGGCACAGTTATGAGCTTGACATGATGAATAAGCCCATTTACAATTCTACTGCGCTTGAACGAGAAATGTCCCCCCTTTGGGAATGGCCTAAAGACACTATAGTCAGTGGCATCCTGAGTAGAAGGGGAGGACACTGATACAAAGGAGGAACATATAAGGCTGAAATATTTGTTTGAATAAAGAGTAACACCTCGACACAATAATGGTCATTTAGCGCTGGGAAAAAGTAACACAGACAAATAGAAACAACTGAGGGAAAGTAAAGAAGTAGGACCTACCAGTGGTGCCCTCCTATCACCCGCTAGGGCTTTTTTTTAAAAAGCACAAGACAACAGCATATTGTGAAACAGTAAGACCAACAATAGCACCTCCCAACCACCATCAGCACGGACTAAAGAGATTGTGTTGGGGCGACATATAAAGCTGTGCACATAATTAGATCACATAGAATATCGTGGCGACAAAAAAAAAGAAGAAAACAGACACCAGTTATCTGAGGCTGCCATCAATGGCCGAGGTGGGAGCAGGGCCACGTCATAAGCACAGCTCATATCGCTGTTCACAGACAAATAAGATAACCCTGCACTCTAACTAACAAAGAGTGTTCAAAAACACTTTACCCCCATAACAGCTCTGCAGGGCAAGGAACAAGCAGAAGTAGGAGCAACCGAGAGTGTTCTCTAACCATCCATACTGATGAAGGAGAACACATAGAAAGAGCTACTTAGTTAACCAATAACGCAGCCAATAACGGGGTGGAAGGAACTGAGATGACTTTCTTCCATGTACACAACATTATACTCAATAATCCAAAATGCCTTACAACAAACTGAATTAATTATTTTGAAAGGGACCATTTTGCCCTTTGACAGAACACCACACAAACAGAAAATAAGCCACACCAGACAAGAAAAGCTCAGACCCTGGACATATTCTCACTCAAGCGCCCGCATGTGAACCAAACCAGGGACCAAATGTGCCACACAGGTAGGATCTAAACTCTTTATTTGAGTATGTGGTTACTTTGACCAACCCCCCCCCCCCCCCCCCCATAAAATCTTTCCATCCAGGCTGTTGTTGATAGCGACCAAGAAAAATATCCTTCAAAACATATCACTGTGAATGTCAGGTTGGCGCAAAAGTGATGAAGATTAAAGATGTAAGAAAACAAACAAAATCTTATCTTAAGAAGACAGACAAACATAAGTAGAATAACATACAAAAGAAGCCTTACGAGCTCAAACTGACAACTGTTTACAATAAAATTAAAAATGTACATTTCCTGCGTCATCATTGTAAAACTGTACAATCGACAAATAGAGCATTAAACAGCAACAGACATTTCTTTCAAACAGATTTTCAATAAATTAATGACTGAATATCGAAATAAAACCATGGTAATCAGGTATTTTGCACAAACAAGATTGACATTACCAGAACAAGTGAGCCTGCTTCACTCAATTAACACTGTGGCACATCTAATCATAAACATAGCGTCGTGAAACTGTCTGTATAGTTACTTATTTTTAAAAATCCCCACAAAAAAGACAATACCAACATCAGTAACCTACTCCAAACAGAAATCGAGAATACAGTTAAAACACACAGTCTAAAAGACAATCAAAACTATATATCTGCCATTTACAATTGTGAATCCCCGACTGCCAAATGCATGCACCCCACATGGTAAGAAAAATTCCACAGTGCACAAGACATCACTGGTCACCTTCTTTAATAGACTTTTATTCATTTAGTATGAGAGACAGATAGGTAAAACTAAGCATCAAAAGAAAAAGAAATGAAGAGAGATAGCTAAAGCTTCATCCATTGATAAGAGCTGGGTATAACAAGCCACAATGAAGTAAACAACTTGGAAGTACTGAGACTAAGTCAACAGAACGAGAAATGGAGAGTTGGCTTTGTCCATTGACAAAACCCTCATAAAACAAGCTATAATGACTTAAACGACTTGAAAATACTGAGACTGAACAAACATTCCAATTCTACATGTCGGCTGTGACTGTCTCGTGAGATGTAAGACTCATATAACTTTGTTCTACTCGCTATATAGTGGAGTTTGACTGTACTATTAAAACAGCCAGCATTTTAGGCTGGAAGAAATAAAGCAGAAACAACAGAGGAACAGAAAAAAAGCAGAAGCCAGCAATAGCACCCTCCAACCACCCCCAAGGTACTTCAGTGAATACTTGTAGAATGAACGAATGAACCCACATGTATTGCATTCAAAAACAATAATAAAAAGACCTACTAATGGCACAACCCACCTACACACAGACCTGAACGACGATGCAGATAGCACAATCTTATCACCTCAGCTACATATTATGACCAAAAATGTCTCATACATTGCTTCCTGATTCAAAGTGTTTCTATTCTTAAGTCAAAGAACACATGATAAACCACTGTTAAACTTTTGTGGAATTAGCATGAGCTAAAGAGAAACATACGAACACTACAACGGTTTATTCAAAACTAGTTGTAAACTACAAATAGACAGATACAATAGTGGAATAGAAATGAAGTCGGACCTACCAACAACACCATCTAAATACCCATATTTGACTTTTTACCCAAAACATTACAAAAGGGAAATATATCTCTACAACTGGTTTCATCATACGTATATATATATCTCAATTGTGAATTCTCTCCATTTCTCACCATCTACCTTACAGCTGACACAAATGTATCACAATCATTTGTGCACCAAAAAAATAGCACCTCACCAATTATGGTAAACTTCGAAATTAGACTTTGATAATAACCCCTTGGATTAGATGGGGGGACACTGATTTTTAACAATGCGTATAATCAGTAAAATTACTGCTCCAACTAAGCACCCATTTGAGGCTCACAGCAAAAAAATTATGCGAAGAAATATCAGGAAGATGAAAACATTCCTTGTAATTCCAATAAAATCTAACTTTAGCAACACTCACAAATTGTAACACCATAGATATTTAATTTAGTATTAGCACCCACCACACAGAACAATCTGCCTTCCAGGAAAAGGTCAGTGCCTGTGCTATAAAATCTTTGCCTTACATGGGCTGGTTTGAATTGGCACAGGCATTGCAAAAAGGAAATAAAAAAGTAACTGGTAAGTCTTTGCACTTCCCGTACATGAAGATTTGAACATTCGAGTCCTAGACTCTTTCTTTGTTTGAGTTTAACAGAAGTACACGTTTCTACGGTAAACACCATTTTGTGCAGAGAAAAACAACACAGACAATTTGGTTTGAGAAAATAGAAACATACTGACATGATAAAAATAATAACTATAGGGAAATAGAAAGATATACAAACACAAATGAGAAGTTGTAAAGATGTAGGACCCGCCCTTCCACTACCTACGACAGCGTTGTATGTGTATGTATAGTATAAGGTTTTACGGCGCTCGCAACTGCTAAGGTCATATGAGCGCGCGAAACAGCGTTTATTAGTTCAATTTTTAAAAAACTGCAAATGAAACAATCATGTAGACTAAAAGCAGCAAAACAAGACCACAAACAGAAATCTATAGAAACACAGAAAAGAAAAAAGAACGCCACCCAACAAAACCATTAATTAAAGTCAACATGTAAGTATATCCCATAGTTGAACCAAAAAATACTTTCCACTCTCCAAAAAACACCACAATCGCTAAAAATGTTCAGACTGAAAGCATTCTCTCTTCAGAAAAGACGACAGCAATATCCTCCCCCAACCC